GCAATGAGGTCAACATCAGGTTCATGCAGAGATTTTTCACAGTTCTTGATTAGTAGGTCTAAAACTTTGGCTGTATAAATATTAATAATACTGGAGCAGACATCTCATTTCATGTGATCCTATAAAATCTACCATCATAACTACATGCAATACATGCCCACCCTTCAAGAATGTGAACAATACAACCAATTTTAGGTGACTTGTTACACTACCAATGCATAGTGACAGGCAAGCTAAATACAAAATACACAAACTCTATTGAGTATACTTGTAATTCTAATGAGGAACATATACAAAATGAATGTACTAGGCACGGCCATTGTAATCACTTTGCTATGGCATTTGAATGAACCCTGTAATGTATACACGTGTGCTACATTTTCATTGTATGTACATAGGGGGTGAAAAACATGACGTACAGATAAGTTATGTCTGAAAAGGTTAAGTTGTCTTTATAGAACTCTAATTATGAAATCTACAAAAACGCCATTTGACTGAAAGAGGAGCTTTTAAGCATTTAAATGTGAAAGTTCATCTTTTTCATCATTCACAAAATATGATATAAATATTCAGGTAAAAGAAATTACCCCAACAATTATAGCAACATTTTGACCTCCAAAAGGGTTGAAAATTATTTTTAAAATGTTTTCTCATGAAACTTTCAAAATTGATATCTTACCGGTAATTAACTGTAGTCACTGCTCTCTATGTGCATTCTGTCAGACTCCCCAGGCTATGTGAAATTATTGCTGAGCACTTAAAATTCAATTAAAGCCGCTGAGGGTCTTTGTAGAACGTTTCATTTAGGTGTGGAATTGTGTAATGTTAAATTATTTAGATAAATGGGGGTATGTAATGGCAATCTTGAGTTTCAACCTGACCTTGCTAAGAGTCAACCTGAGCTCCACTCTTAGCTCCACTCTTAGCTTCAACTTGAGCTTGGGAAATTGTTTACAGCAGAAGCTCAAAACGAAGTTGTAGTGCCGACACTGAGCTTCTAACCTGAGCATCTAAGATCAAATCGGCTCGGTTGAAGTCGCCCATTAAAGCAAACAAAAGAAATGTACTTGCCGGCAAAATCAGACACAAGTCGTTTGAAAAAAAAAATTAAACTCGCCAGCCAAACATTGCTAAGTGCGTAAATTCTCCTATGAATTGGATGGGAGAATTAATTGATGTCAGTGAAAATGGCAACAAAATGTTAGCTTACAATAATTATATTGAATATGATCTGGATGTAGAAGGCAAAATGGGAATATTTTATCCTGGTACTATTTCAAGAGTGGAAAACAGTTAAAATAAACATGGAAAATACTGTTTACACAAATATTTAAAGATTCTATCTTTATTCACTTGCCCACAAATAATTTTTAACGTTTGAATTTTGGAAACATGTCAACGAATATAGACCACCTGATCTTGACTCAGGGCGAATCATCGCAAAGCCTATACACACCGCCATTGTTTTAATCTGTGATGAGCTCCTGACCTTCACATTTATGATACAGCAATTCTGATTGGTAGCGCCAGCTCCTTAGTGTGCCCAATCAAATGACTCAATCTAACTGCAGTGAAATACAGCTTTTCCCAACACGATCATGCATGGGTTCGTGGCCCGATTATGAATGGTCGGCTTTAGCAAAACTGTGCGATTTGGATGTTGAGTGTTGTGCAACACTTTGGAATACCCTTATGAAACATTTTAACAGCCATCTTGTTTTGGCCCAAGTTACGATTAGTTTCCCTGTAGCAGCTTTTTCAAAATCTTTTAAAATTTCTGGATATACCGGTAAATTTGTCCTTCCAAACATTGATTTTCCTGGTTTATGTAATTCACAATTTATCCAGTTTATCATTATACTAATGTTTGAATCTAGGGTAGTGATCAGTTGCTGACTTCATTTAGGGACGACGTCAAAAGATCGATGTCGGATAAAAAACTTATTTCCTTTAGTTTGGGGGTGGGGGGTTTTGACCTCAAAAAGTTTCCATCTGACAAAAACGATTTTGTTTTTTAATGAAGTCAAAAAAATCTTGGAGTATTTGTAGTTCATTTTTTTTTCTATCCAATCATGGACAGAAATAACCGAAAAGGGAAAAAACAGAAAAATGGTTTGGTTCGAGTGTAAATCTGTGCGTCAAATAAGGTGCATTTGTAAAATCTTTTTACACTCACCCGACAGCCAACTGCTATGCAATACTACCGTAAAATCTGTATTAGAAGCCGCATCCCTAATAGAAGTCGCACCCATTATTTTTGAATAATTGAGAATCAAAAATTCATCATTTCTCATATGTGTAGGTGCTCTAATAGAAGCCGCATCCCCTGTGTTGCATTCTACCATTTTAATAGAAGCCGCAGCTTCTAATAAAGATTTTACAGTACTGTCCGATTATCAATTTGTATTTAATGGTGAATGTAGTCTGACGCCATGACCAATATTTATCAATTAAGTTTCAGTGGGGGGTAGAGGGGTTTGGAAAAAAACTAAAGGAATTAAGTTTTTGATCCAACATCGATCTTTTGACGTCGTCCCTTATAGTGGAGTATTGGTGTGATTAGTGGTGCTATAAATGATTTATTTCCTCCAATGTCTCTCGCATACAATCATTCTCAGAAAGGAGATGCATTGGAATCAACCTCTGAGTAGGGCTGTTTTAGATGTATAAAAGTCTTGTGTAGTCTTAAGTGCTAGGTAATTAAAATATATAAATTTATAATATAAGGTTATTTTACTACTGGGGGTTAATGCCGGAATTTATGTCGGTATGCATTAAATGGCGAAGGGTATTGTTCAAGACACCTTGTGGTAAGAACAATGCCGAAGCATCCAATATTATGTTAATAAACTTATTATGCAGCATTTTCCCCAGATGAGTAGACATTAAGCAGAGTTTACCACCAGATATTCAAATTCTGCAAATACTGAGCGTTTGTTGCATACTTTGTGGGACCCTGAATAAAATCATAACCATTCTCTTATGCTGCCTGGCATGTACTAGTAGTTGTACACTCACTTTACTGAACATCTTCAGAGAGTGGTATTTAATGTAGTAGCGACCTGGTAAATCAATCGATTTTGAAGATCAGCTTTTGGGAATACTGCTGAACACATTGATAACCACTGCTAAAATTTCCTCTTTCATGCAAGGTTACACGAGTCAGTCAGAAAATTTTATTTTTAAGTTTAAATCATCCACATTTTATTTTGATTGCAAAAATATGTTTTTGGATGGAAGGTAGCCTCATACTAAGGGTGTTTTTATTTTGTATACATTGATCAGCTAATCGGGGCAAGAGGTCAAACCAAATCCAATAACTCCCCGTAATTATTGCACTCAGCGTCCTAGTTTGCATAGTTATTGGATACAGATACCAGAAGTTGTTGTATTCTGAAACTCCATTGCTTACAGTAGTACAATGTACAAGTATATGTATAATAAACATTATACATCTGTCACCATAACGCCATAAGTTACAGCGTGTCGTAATTTTGCAATATTTCATGGGGTATTTTTATCCTACCATATTAGGAAATGTGAATTCCTAATATAGAATCATTACGTGCATAAGCGTCCACTAATAAGAAAAACAAACATGGCTGCCACCAGGGTTGAAGTTCATGATACTGTTATAAACATTTTGGATTTCAGCATTCCCATGATGTATCTTTGGGAGGAAAAGATGTATATTAATATGGTTATTACGAGGATATCACCAAGTATGCACTTGGACAGTATGTGGTTGCACGTCGTTCGATACTCCCGCTGTATTGTCTTTGTGCATACTTTTCGGTATCCTTGTAATAACCTCATAGTATATTATGTACAATACAGTACATATATATATGAACTTTTACTGCAGTGATGTCGTGGTAGAAGTCAGACCAGAGGCAACAATAAAAGATTTGATTTTGAATCAAACTACACAAAATTCCCTACAAAATTCAAGAGTCCCTACAATAACTACCAATTCAACCACAGTATTTAAAACAAGAAATGCACTCCAAGGCTGAGTCTAGGCAAGGTCGATGAACCCTTACAGAGAACCCATTGTATTGGAAAAGGAGAGCCTTCAAGGATGTCTTTGTTCACATGAGCAACTCATTGACTTACTAATGAATATCATACCCAGTGCTTTTGACTTTGGCTTCAGAGTCTTAATAGGATTATGTTAGTGTTACTACTTCCAATAGTAATATATCCCCCTTCAATATGTAGTGTATCCTGAAAGATATCGCTTGATGAGAATATGATTATAACATGCATCTGTAATAAAATTCTGTTGCGAAAAATTTCAAGGTTTTTTTTACCTATTAAACAGAGCTGCATAAAGTCTGTCCGTCACTATGGCAATTCAACTCTTGCATGATTCTGGTGTTGTTGACAAGACCAACACACTTGGTCCCCTCAAAGTTGCATCAGCAAAAGTACTAACCATTGATTGTACGTGTATAATCTGGTGTGCAACCCAACATACAATATTATGTGTAACACTTATAATCTGTCTTGATGCATGTATTCAATTATTGTAATGTGAAAAAAGAGCTGTAAATTGCTGCAATTGGTATTACTGAAAATCCGATTAGAACCTGTTGCTTCTATTAATTAAAATGGTACAATGCAACAGAATGGAAGTGGTTTCTATTGCAGCATCTACACATATGAAAAATGGTGAATTTTTGGTTCTCAATTGTTCAAAAAGAATGGGTTATAATTTACAAACTCTAATTCATATTTATCGGTTATTCCTATGTCATCTCTTGTCAAATATTGATAAAACAATAATTTATAATGGTTATTAAATTTATTGCCAACTTTGGGAAGTTTGATGAACGTTTCTTGGTTGTGGACATATCTACAAGGTTCATACATGTATGTAACTCATTCTTGAAGATGAAATTTTGTGGATCAAGTCTGCTTCATCACTGCGTTTACATTTTTCACCCCATTTTATTCTAATAAATATAAACTTACTATGTTCTTTGTTTCATTATCAGGCGGAGCTGGTGGTAAAGGTACCTGGGGAACACCAGGATCTGAGCTCCTTGAAGATGGAATGTGCAATGATGAAAAGGATCCAAATTATGACTCTGATACTAGGGTAAGATGATATAAAGGGGCTGATTATGCTAAAATTCTCAGACTCCCTAGAAATCCCAGCTTTAACTTCCTTACGACCCTGTGAAATTCACTGACTCCCTAGCATCTGTGTGAAAGTCAATTACTAGTACTTTGTAGGATCACACTGAAACTTGCTGTGATTTGATGTTCTCTGCTACACAATGTTGTCTTTCCTGATTATTGTAACTAGCGACCGTTTGCCTCTGCCAAAATTTAAGCGATTAATTCAACTGTAACTAATAATAGCTTTGTTTTCAACCATTAGGAAAATTATTTTACTTCTGTCGTACCTGCTATTCATGAAGATGAGTTTGAAAAGGTTGTTGAACCAATTCTCCAGGAATACTTTGAACATGGTGACACTGATGAGGTTGCTGTAAGTTGAGCATTATATTATTACACTTCTCTGGGTCCAAACTGTTTAAAATAGATTGCCATGTCTCTATAGCACAATGTAAGATGGTTGATTTAGCAATCATACAAAGTTTGGAAAAAGAATTTGGCTTTCAGAAAGATTACTTGTGCAACTCCTATGGTCATCTGTATGCACTGTCAAATACATCCATTCTTTTTCTCTGTATCTCATATCTTTGTGGTTATTTTATAGTTGTGCAAATTCTTGTATAAATGCTGTACATGTAATGGTTTTTCCTAACATTAAGACAAAAAAATTGCAGAAGTGCATCTCCAATATCATGCGTACATAAGTTGAAATTCCATTTATTGAAATGTGTCTATTTTGATCAGACTTAACTGACATTACATATGTGCATAGTAATACTGTAGTTGTCAGAGTATAAACCCCTGCTCGAGTATAAGCCTCCTTTCCAAATTTATAGCATTTTACATCAAGTCAATTTTCCCCTCTTCCAAATTGTGAAATGCAGCATGACCAGATTGCGCAACCATGATCATTTGCTGCTACACAATGTAGTTGTGTTAGTTTTTATTTGAATTTTCGTTTATAATATACTTTTTTTACCCCAAAACGTACAGACCAATATTCATGTGAAGGGCATGGTCGAATTCTGTTCCACTTAGTAAACTCACCCAATAGTAATTAGTGACCCCGGGCGTAATGGCCAATCTCCAAGTTAATTTGTCAGATGCTAGTCGATGAAGACACTCTAGTATCGTACACACGTCGATTTGTTTATGAATAAATTAACTCAAAGTTTTAACTTTTATCCAATTTGCCGTTTCCCCGGAGGGGGTTATACTCAGACAACTACAGTACATACATACATACATACATACTAAAAAAATACAATATATAAAAAAAAATGTCACCTGTTATTTTGCAGAGACTGACAAGGCTTTTGTAAATGCATTGATTATCATAACCTGGGGGATTAAGCAGTGATTTACATGTGATATCTGTGACTGCAGTATCATTGCTCCCAGCAGCTCAGAATGCTGATTTATGTAAATCCACATGGCTTTAAGTTGCCCTGTAAATCGCTGTTGTGTAATCTTTGCTATTTTCTCATCTCCACTGACAGGAATGTTTGAATGAACTGAACATTAAACATATTAGGCATGGAGTGCCTAAACTTGCTGTGACGATAGCTTTAGAGCGAAAAGCTGCTCAGAGGGAAATGACTTCAGTCTTGATATCCGACTTGTATGGCAAGAAACTTGTGAATGAAGACGAAGTTGCAACTGCTTTTAATGATGTTCTCAATGAATTAGAAGATCTATCACTAGATACACCTGATGCACCACAGGTAAAAGATTTAATAAATTTATATTACAATGTTCATTATTTCTGTGGGGTAGATATGTGTTGTACTTTACCTCCTTACCATGCCATTCTCCTCACTTTGATCCTTCACTGCATTCTAGGCTGACTTTTATTTAGCTTTGATAATCGAATTGAAAATAAAAATCAACTTGTGTCAGAGACTAATTATTGTTTAGAATAAATGATATACCGGATGTGTTTCTATATTTTCTCAAAATTTGTAGTCAGAAATTGTTGATTTGGTCTAAAATAAAAAAGAAATTTAACAGATGTGTGAGAATGTTCAAAATATCACACCAAAATGTTTGTGGGAAAAATTATGCTTAAATAGGTAGATGTATTTTTTTACTCAGAACTCCGTGAATGCCTTATATCTATTGAAGTATGTATGTTGTTGCTGTTGCCATAGTGTAGCAGTGGATTGATTTTCACCATAACTTTCAGATTGCTGACATCCATGAAAGTGACATAATTGGTAGAGCAATAGCTTATCACATTATTATGCATGCAAATAAGGATAAATTATAAGGATGTGATTTATTTCATACTTTGTGTTTCTCATGCTTTGCACGTATGAAAGCAGTGTGCTCTTTAACAGGACTAATTTTGTAGGAATCTAGAGTCAAAACAGAATCTACCAAAAATTGAGTCGGCTCGACGACTGGTCTTCAAAAAAAAATACAAAAAACTTCTATGTGTCTGTATAGGTGACTTGAGACACAAAGGTATAAGGAAGGGATATGGAAAGCAAGCAGGATTATATAGCTTTAGATCAGTTTTACTGTTCAGTCCTGTAACGTTGTTTGTGAAGCAAGTTGCGAAAGGTGTTACAGTATTGTAAATCATCCATGGATTAGAGTTTTTGATTTACAGACACTGTATTTTCGCTGCCACAATCTATTGAATTATTCAGCTGTCAAATAAGCACATGTACATGTACCGTATTACCCCAGGCACGCGCCCCTCCCTGGGCAAGCGCCCACGCCCTGTTTTCACAAAGGTTACATGTTGGGGACATCCTCGGTTAAACGCCCAGTGTGATTTTTAGCCATGAACGGGGTCAACAATAAAGTTTTATTTGTCAAAAACGAATGCGTTTGATTTATTTAAATAGTGCGTTTGTTACGGTAGTTCTTTTTTTGGAGTGTGTGGTGACCCTGAAAAGGGCCACTTTGTTTG